ACACACACACACACACACACACACACACACACAGAGAGAGAAGGTGGGTGGACATGGAACTAGGGAGCGTGGGAGATGACGTGCTACGGAACATTTTTACGAAGCTTCCGTTCATCGATAGAATCTTCATTGAGCCTTGCGTATGTCGTCAGTGGCTGAGAGTGGCCCGACAACCGGAATGCTTTCGAGAGATCGACACGCGGGAGTGGGCGGAGAGGCAAGGCCTTGTGCTACAAGATCATCGGAGAAGCAAGTCCATCATTCTCGGTGGTAGGTCGATTCCTCAGCGTGTGGGTGCGGTGTTAAGGAAGGTGGGCAAGCTGGGCAGAGGTCACGTGGAGACATTGGTCTTACAGTACTGTTTGATGAAGGCGGCGAGAGATGTTTGTGTGGGGCAAGCGCAACTCAGGCGCTTAGAACTGTGGTCTGTATGTGGTCCGCTTAACGGGCAGACCTGAACAAAGGATTACTGAAATCTTGTCCGCAATTAGAGCACCTGAAGATATAAAATATTCCCTCGCCGTACTCGTTTAGACTGTCCACCTTATGCCTTCCCCTTGCTGAGTACCCCTCTCAAGGGCGTTGGAGTATGTTTCCTGCCATGCTGTATCTCTACTTCAGTGCTGAGCTAGAACATGAGCTGGAGGAGTCCCTCCTCAGCACCCATTCCATTGTGTGGCTGAGTCTTCGTGCTCCCCCTCTTCACCATCCTCTTCCTCCTCGTTACCTTCCTCCGCCTCGTCGGCTCATTGACAGTGATTCTCGAAGAGAAGAGAGTGGCGGCAATTGCGCAACAAAGCGGAGCGATGCAGCGAGAGGAGATGAAGAGATTGAAGAGCAAAGCGAGCGGAGGAGGCCTGATGAAGCTTCTGTGTCCACAGATGGAGTACGAGGAGGAGGAGGAGGAGGAGGAGGAGGAGGAGCGGATGAAGAACTGGACAGAGAGCGGCAGGTTTTCATAACGTGGCTGCCACCTGCTCCTCTCCTGCCTTCTCGCCCTGCTGATATGCTTCATCACCCTTTCCTCTATCTTCTCCTGCTCCTCCTCCTGGTAGCCTTGATTATGACGATGATGACGATGATGATGATGATGATGACGTCAACGTTAATGATGATGATGATGACATTGAGGGCTTCTATTTGCCTCGTCGTACTCTTGATGAAGGGTCCATCCTGAGCATTGCCCAGCACTGCCCGAACCTGACGACACTTCATCTCGACGCCGGCGAGAGTTGCTCCTGCTTCCAGCTGCTCTCGATGACCACGTTAGTCCGTCGATGCACTGCCTTAACCAATCTCTCTCTGACTTCGCATGCTACCGGGTTTAACGTAGTGGCGCTGTACCCGGCCATCCGTGTCCTCTCTGGCTGCCAGCAGCTGCGAAGGCTGAGTCTCTTCGGTCTCTGTCCTGCTGCCTCCGATGCTTTAGACGATGACTGTTGCCCTCTGTTATCCTCTTTCGCTCTTACCACGAGTTCCTTGCTGAGAATAGACGAGTTCTCTGGGCTGCTCAGCTTATCCCGTCTATGTTTCAGTACAACAATGCGTTGTGCGTGACTGATAGCATTTATTTTGGAGACCCTGGAGCCCCTCCTCAGGTGCTAGCGGTGTCTGCTTTTACCAGCACCACTAGCACCGAAGGAGACGTTCTTTAAAAAAAAAAAAAAAAAAAAAAAAAAAGAAAAAAGAAAAAGACGGCGGTGTCAGTGTGTGTCGGCTTACGGGAACTCGATGTGAGCGGGACGCGCATCAACGACTGGGGGATAATTGCAGCAGTGCGGGCCTGCTCTGACCTGCAGTCTCTGTCAGCCTCTCGTTGCCGATACGTCACTGATGAGTCAGTGAGCGTTGTGGCCGCTGAAGGGGCGCGGCAGCTGCGCGAGCTGCGGTTCGACGAGACCGGGGTCACTCATCACGCCTTGTCTTTTCTTGCCAAGGGAACGTGCACCTTAGGGCTTGTCACGCTTCTGCTCTATGGGTCTAATGTCAGCGGAGAACCATCCACCTACCCTCGCTTGGAATCGTGGACGTGTTTGGAGGCTCTTTTTGATCGCTATGCTCATCTCGAGGAGGTGGGTTTGCGCGTCTTTGACCCCTTCCTCGATCAGGAGCGAGTGGAGCAGATGGAATCGATGTGGGGAAAGGCCATCTTGCTAAGGAAGGCCAAGCTCGCCAATCGGTCGCAGGGGACTCATCGAGAAACGACCGGTAGACTAAGTTCCCTCAGAAATTCAGTACTTTCCGATGAGGGATTGGATAATATGGATTACTCTCCCGATCCCGATCCCGGTCCCGATCCGGAGGAGGAGCCTCGTCTTCCCCCTTGGCAGTGCTGCGGCGCTTTTCTCCAAAGCCTCTCTCGAGTCGGTCCTTCCTTACGCCGCCTTCACCTCTTTGCAGACCCCAGAGCACTCTTCGGCGATTTCGAGGAAGAATTTCTTGCTTTCCTCGGCGCCTGCCCCAGTCTGATATCCCTCCGACTGACCGGAATCGCTCAGGTCAGTGATGCCATCCTGTACAAGTTGGGCGCTGTGTGTCCTTCGCTTGAGCAGCTCGTCGTCGCTGGTTCTCTAATACCTCTCTCCCAGGGCGTCGACCACCTCCATGTTACGAGTCGCAGACTCAAGTCTTTCGAGTACTGCCCCCAATATTACGAGGAAGTTTTCTTGAACGACGCACAAGAACGTGTAAGGTACGTGAGGCGACAGCTGACGGAGATAGGCGTAGTGCGTAATTAATCAATCTGTCAGAACTGTGATGTGGAGGGAGGGAGGAATTGTTTTTCTTTTTTTTCTTTTTTTTTTAAGGCTAATTCTGAGGGAGGAATAATAGAAAGTAGTAGGGGAAACTAGGCGGGAGTATAAAAAAAATGAGTTATAACTTATAATTGCAGTATGGGTGGGCCAAGATAACAGTTTGTAAGCAGACAGGCTGACGAAGATAGCCGTAGTCCGTGATTAATCAATCTATTGGAACTGTGTGTGATCTGGAGGGAGGGAGGAATAATAGAAAGTAGTAGGGGAAACTAAGCGGAAGGCATAAAAAAAAAGAGTTATAATTGCAGTATGGGTGGCCAGGGTGGGCCAAGATAACCGTTTGAAATGGCAGTTCGGCCAATGTATACAACCCAGCTTTTTCTGTGAGGTAGGGTGGCTGAAATTCAGTTCCAAACTGCATCTTGCCCCATGGTGCAATATCTTTTTTTTTTTTTTTTTTTTGGGAATACGAGGATCAAGGTCCTCGGTAGGCCTAAGGGGCCCTGTTTGCAGCATTGCCTGCCCTAAGTGAAGGCGGAGGTGCCCGCCCTAAGTGAAGGCGGGCCTGACATATGGCAAGAGGCCCCCTACTGTCAATTTCATGTTTGGGGTCCAGGCAGTTGCCATGCGCCAGTTGATTGAGAGAAACTCAGGCCGGGCCACAAAGACATTTCCACGGCCCTCTGGGCTTTTCCAAAGAATGCAGGCCCTGGGCGTGAATCGCAGCCTCATACAGAGACAGTTGGGCGCCCAACCGAAGGAGGCCCAACAGCCCAGTAGCTGTTGTACACAGGCAGCCTCCTGGGGCCTTCCCGAAGCTTCTGGGCCCAGGCCAGGGCAGCCAGGCAGGGCAAGTAGGCCAGCTCTTTTCATAAAGGAAAGAGCTCTCCGCTGGCAGCCTCATCCGGTCACTTGCTGGCTGGCGGCAGCGCTGCTGGAGCGATTGCTCGCGGTCTGGCTGCCGGCATTGGAGCAAGAGGCTGCGCACGTGCAGTCGTGTGTGGGAGCAGGGCGCTGCTGAGGGCAGCGCCATTGCCAGCCTCCATAGCGGGCTCGGCTTCGATACACAGTGAGGCGCAGGGGTAGTCTTCGGATGCAAGAGAGGACAGATGTGGGTGTTAAGTCAGGGAAGGGCAAAGGATGATGATGATGATGATGATGTGAGGGCACTTACCTTGTATTGGCGATGGTCAGCATATGGGCGACATCTTCAAGTACTGCGGGTTGCCGCTGATGTCAACAGTTGCATTGTCTATTATTAAGCTGATCGTAGCTGTGCAGGAGTAGGCTGGGCGCTGAGCGCCAAGTAGGAGTGTGAAGGGACTGGACTCTTGTGTTAATAGACATTTCGTAAAAACTGATTTTTTTGTCAAAAAGTGAACTATTTCCACTGCGAATAAACACTGAGTACATGGCCCAATACGGCATCATGCGACACTTTAAGTGCGGATAAATGGCCAGTATATGAGGTGTTGACATGGCAAACGTTGCGGTGGGGCATTTTGAGCCCTTCGTACATGAATAGTCGTTATCAAATGCGAATTAACACCTCAGTGTAGGTGTTGCCAACGACTGTGACAGACAGTACACAATTCAAAAGGGCATCCTGTTGGGTTTGTGGTGCCTGTTTTGGATAAAAGGTCAGGGGTTTCCACAAAAGGTCTGGGGTCCGGCGCCCGACACCTTGCAAGTTGATGGACTGAACCCGTCAACTGTGGTCGGGTGGAACACCCAGCCTGGTGCACGACATTTGGCAAGTTGCACCCGCAAGCCGTCAGTACCCCTGCAACAAAGGTGTCCACCATTTATCTTCCCGGAAGCACCCCGTTCTTCGGTTGACAGAAAGTAGTTGAACACCGAATGATTCGGGAGTTAGTGGTGTTCGACAGAGCACCTGAAGGAAGTGGCAAACATTCGTTCGCTCTCGATGCCGATTGCCAATTGCACTGTTAGGGGGCCTTGATGCTGGTTCCTGATCTGTTCGGCGATCGAGCAGCTTGAAGAAGTGTAAAACAATCATTGGTTGTCTGTGTGGATTGCCATTAGCACTGTTAGGGAAGCTTAATGCGAGATCTGATTCCGGGTCGTGAGAGAGAGAGAGAGAGAGAGAGAGAGAGCGAGAGAGAGAGAGAGAGAGAGAGAGAGAGAGAGAGAGAGAGAGAGAGAGAGAGAGAGAGAGAG